GTCAACAAGGCCCAACTAAAAGTATTATTAGTTTTAGTTTTAGTTAACTAAAACAACACTAGTACATGTACATTGCTAATAGTTATCAAATATATTTTTAGTTTCTACTGCTGCTGCTCTTATAGAAAAAGATGAAATGATTCAAAGACTTGAAATACAACTACAAGAAATTGAGAAGCAGTTAGTGCCAGTCACTAAAAGTAAGTATATTATTAGATCATGGTTACATGTACACAATGTATTAACTTTCATGAGCCAAATCAATTATTCTATTTATGTAGTTCCAGTGTATGGAGCTAAAGTCATTGAACTGGAGGATCAGGATACTAAAGAGAAACAGATTTATTTAGGTCAGCTGCTGAAGATGCTGTTTTTAATGCATCATATCATCATGTTAACCTTTTTATGAGTTGTTTAGTATATCATGAATTAATACTTGATATTTCACAAATTCACATTACCATTTTGTGTAGAAGATCAAGTGATTGTAAAGAAAGAGAAGATAGATTTCACTCTAACTGAGCATGATCAATTTAGCATCAAAGGAACTAATTCTGTTGGAGTGCAATTTAACTACATGATCCCCTCAATGGGTAAGTTTAAATACAATGTATAGCTCAAATTTTTGTGGCCCAAAACTTTTACAGATCTGTCCAAAATCAAATTTGTGCCTTTACTTTTTCTTGATTTTCTACTTTTTGGCCATTTTGAATTGTATTAAATTGATTTTCTTGGATTTTATTTTTGTGAATTTTGAAAAAAGCACGAAATCCGCAAAATATATTGGGCCACAAAAATTTTCCGCTGCATGGTATTTTCTTTTATAATTACATATGTTTCACAGATAATTTGGAATGTCTGAGTGATGTCCAGGTAGCAGAGAAGAAGCTGTTCTTAATTCAAGGAGACAAACCTCAACTGATGAATTGGGAGAAATATGGTCTAAGGATTGGAGTACAAGAAGGAAGCCTATTGTCCTCTGAGACAATAGAAGCAGCAGTGGTTGCTCTTGTAGGAGGACAGTTCCAGTTTCCTCCTAATACTGTCCTAGTGAGTGCTGTGTATGCAGTATCACTCTCAAAGCCTCTCCTCAAACGACTCAAGTTAGAGATACAGCACTGCGTTGATTTAAGAGGACGACCAGATCTTGCACAATACTTAAAGTTTGCTATAGCTCCAGTCGACACACCCAGTCTTCCTTACCTGTTCAAATTTGTGGAAGGAGGAGAGTTTAGCTCTAGTGGTGGGTATGGATTCATTGAGCGTAAAGATTTTTGTCTTGTATCTATTTGTGGCTGTGATGGAGGAGGTAGTACAGGTTCTTCATCAGAAGTTTCATCTAATTTAGCTGGTTAGTAATCATGCATGATTATGCTTATATTTATTTGTAATGTAAATGAACTGTCATACATGTAGATCCATTATCAGAACCTGGGCCCAGTATGAGAACAAGAAACTCATTATCATTTAGCTCTGCAGGAGGTAAATTTTAGTTTGTCATAGCATGGAATTTGTGTAGTGTATAATATCAGTAAATTTACAGCAAATTTACTGCCACGTGTCGTTGAGCATGTTCAGCATAAAATTGCCAATTGCTAAAATAAATTCTGCCAATTTTTCTCACTTTATATGTCTACATGTAGCAATCCATAAATTGCTAAGTGATGAATAATACTGTATTTACTATGCAGGTAATGATGCTTTGCCTCAGGATCCAGTGTCTCAACAGCAAGAATCAGCTAGTACTGGAAGTATACCTAAAGAAATATTGAAAGCTGTGACATATGCTGGTCTGATTTATTATGAAGAGAAAGGTGTAGAGGATCAGGTGACATTCACTACAGCTAAGAATTTGAATGCTCTTGTTGAGGTAAGAATGTTTGTTACTTGAAATATATTTACTGGTATGTACGTATGTAGTATATTGAAAGAAAGCATTCTGAAGCTGAAATGGGACCTCATAAATACTTTCGTATTGCATCTCCTGATGGTTTTATTGAATTGAAGTTTGGTACTCGACAGAAGAAGTCTTGTAAAGGATGGACTATTGAACCTCACATAGAACCTTGCAGAGTAAAACAATAAAAATTAACTGTATCCTCAAGTTATTTTTAACACTATAGCTGCATCAAAGGAACATTTACAATTTTGGTGACAAAGATTATTCTCTTCCTCCGTCTTGTCTGATATCAATCTATTCATCACCTAATGCTGTTCCTACATTACACTACTCTGTACCAGTAGAGGGTGTGGCTGATCCTGTTTCATTTTATATTCACAGATCACGAAGAACAGCTCATCCTATTGCAGGTACAATAAGTTATTCATCCAATGTATGTTATGTACAATATATCTGTTATAGCTGCTCCTAGCAGTAGTGGCAGTAATGAAACTACACCAACGCCAACTAAAAGAAGAAGAGAAGGAGGTACATGCACACAACATGTCATGACTAACTATTGACTATTGGTATTGTAGGTTTTGATATTAAAACAGCTAAACAAAAGATCAAGCAAGTTATGAATGAGAATTATTCAAGTTTTGCCAAAATTTTGGAGAGCTCTCTGAAAGAAATTGCGAACAAACTATTTGAGGCTAAAATTATTGCTGAGCAGGTTCAAAAGTCACCAACTTATGATGCCATAGCCTCAAGTTTCCTAGCTATGATGGATTTATTTGACTCTAAGTCTGACCTCGAGAAGCATTGTATGAAGTATCTAGAGGCTCTGTCTAGTGTTGGGGGACCAATAGAATTTGCTGCTAATCTCTTGAGGGAAAAATGGACAACAGCTCTTGAGGGTACACTTCAGTTTGAACAGTCTGTGAAAAGAGTTAGAACTAAAAGATGAATGATGTTGCACTTTAATAATGATTTTAATTTTAGCTAATGTTATTCTATTTTAAAATGTTGTATTTATCATGTAATGTTCCACTCTTCTGGTTCTTTCCTTTCACTCTAACTCTTTCATTTTTGAAATACTAAATTAACCATTTCAATCAAGTAGGTGTGGCTCATAAATTTTAATCAATAAAATGGAGGAAAAGTGCAACAAAACCGAGAAAAAAACAGCATTAAGGAACTAATACCCTGGACCCGCCATTGTGATTACTGAGGACAGGTAAATGTAGAATTAATTAAGGAGGATATACATTATTATAACTATAATTAGTTAATGAATGCATGTTTATTTAAAAGTTTTTGCTCCCAGCAATAAGATTCATTATAGAGGTGAACCTAATGGAGTTGAAGGGGCTGAGGGTTGGTAAGTCTCATTAGCCACTAGTAGTCAGACCAGCCTACAGTCATTGGGTGGTAGCTGGGGAATGGTCTGGCTAGTGAGACTAGGCCGGGGGACATGGAGCCTAAGGAACTGATGAGTCTAATACCCTGGATCAGCATTGGGATGACTGGGGTCAGGTAAATGTAGAGTTATTTAAGGAGGATATACATTATTATAACTAATTGAATTATTAAGCATGTCATGTGTATACATGTCTGTTCTTATGTTGCACAGAAGTTTGAGCCATTTTTGATCAATTTTGGATTTTTTTACAAATATTATTTTTTAATTACTGTATACTGGGAAATTTTCGAGTAGCCAAATTTTTGCGGATTTTGCGTTTTTTTGCTCCCTCGCGAAAATAAAAATCGTGAAATTCTGAATTTACATTGCCATGTGGTGGAGTTTACAAGCTATTTGTGAAAATATTATTTCGTGAAATCTTACAAATGCAAAATTCGCAAAAGAAAAAAAAAATTTTAGCGATGCGAAAATATCTTAGTATACAGTAGGTCAAAGCATAGATATTATACACGGAACAGGATTGGAAACAGGATCACGTGAGCACATTATGCATCGAAACCAACCTAGTTTGCCGGGAACTGGTGACCGTAATGGAGATGAATGGAGAAAGTTTGTGGGACTCTAGCAACTACATCGGACGACAAAGCAGGCTAGTAGGAGCCTTTATAGCTACCTCTCAAGGGTCTTTAGTGGAATAAGGCATCTATTAGTGCTTATATCTATGTTTCAAAAAGTTATGGCGTGCTAAAACAAAGGGATCTTAAGCCAGGATGCCATTACTCTCAAACTAACAGATGCGCACCATAAAAAACGTCTTAGTCCACTGTAGGATGTTAAGAAGTAGCTATAGAACTAGATACCTTGTCATAAAACCGCCGGGTATAGCCTAGAAAGTCCCACAAAGTATTTTTTAACAATCTCCATTCATCTCCATTACGGAATTCAAATTTCACTCTTAATAACCACGAATTAACTAGTTCCCGGAAAACTAGGTTGGTTTCGATGCATAATGCGCTCACGTGATCCTGTTTCCAATCCTGTTCCGTGTATAATATCTATGCTATAATACACTACATGTACATGCATAGGAAAAATGTACAGTAAATGAAGAATTCTCTCAATTTTGGTGAAATTTGACCAAATTCAGTATGGGGGCTTTGATCTGATTTTTGAGCAATTTTAAAAATTCCTAAAAAATTCAAATTTGATTGAAATGAGCTCAAACTTTATGCTCAATATAGGAATGTGTATGTATCAGGGAAAAATATAAAATTGAAGAATTCTCTCCTTTTCATTTTTGGTGAAATTTGGCTGAACATGAGCATACAAATTTGCTGACAAGAAGCACTACCGTATAGCTAGAAAGTTTGGTGGAGTAGAACTTTGGCGAATTTGGTGAATTGAGGTCCATTCGCCAAATTTTTAGTCTTCAATTTGATAAGGCTCCATAGAAGCATACACAGAGTTAAATTTCGCGAAAATTTTAGCCTCTAAACCTCTTTTAGAGTCAATTTGCCAAATTTTAGCACTCCAAATTTTTTAGCTATACGGTATGCCAGATCCTGTGGGAAACCCTGTACATTACACTTATCAGTCTTCACGATGCCTCTGTCTCATCATGTCTTTGTTATACTTCCATACACTATGTTAAAACCTCTCAGCAGTGTCTGTCATAATACATAAAAATCATATCTAGACAATGTAATCCCTCTGTCATCCTTTAGGTTAATAGTGTTGACGGATCATATTGTTTACAATGTGGGCAGCTCAACATGCAGCATTGTGTAAAGTACTCACTACATGTCATCAAGTATCTCTGTAACAAGAGTGTACTCTTTAAATCAATGGACCACTGACATACAGATAGACACTGTATGCATATACTGACTGTAACAAAATGCACTAATCCCTCAATGTCAGCTGTTCTATTGTACATTTTGTGTATTGTGAGTGTATAACAAAAGTTATTATTTAATGACAAATTGAACTATCACAACTATAATATTTCCATATTTGGAGGATGATGAGTGGCTCACATGATGCACTAATGTACAGTACTCATAACAGTACATGAGAAACTGAGTTGAGCCTATGATTGCAAAAAAGTGTCCCAATATATATATATATAAGTTTTGTCAATAATGCAATAACATCGATCCATTAAGGTCCCTATACACCAGGCAATCTGTGGTTACTTTGATCTTCAGGCAACACTGTTGCCTAGAATAAAAACATGTTCTATTCTAGGCAACACATTGCTTACAACAGGGGCATAGGAATAGGGGGGCAGGGGGACAGCTGCCCCCCCCCACTTTTATTGACATGGGGGCTATGCCTCCACTTTTAGTTCACTGGCTTTTTTTGAAGATTACACCATTTCAACTTAAAGCATATATACCAATAAGCACTTCATAATGATAATGCACCAAGTCATTCAAGTCAATTTTAATTTCCCTTAAATGCATGGTTAGCTACCAGCTGAACTAATTCAAGTTAGAAAGAAATATTTAAATTTTAATGTGAGAAATTGCATGTATCATTGTCAACTGTGTGCGGTGCCTCCCCCCCACTTTTCAATAGCTTCCTACACCTATGTACAACATCAAAGTAACCGCAGATTGCCTGCAATAGAATTGCCTGTATGGTGTATAGTCGTCTTTACTTAATTTATAATAATGAGCGCTAGCACTACTAGGTCTACTAGTGGTCTAATTATATACTAACCACTCACCACAGTAAATTACTTTAGGTGAATATGACACCTTCCCAATATTTGTGGGTTTAGCTAAGTCTCATTTCACACTGATTAATTGTGCTATAGTCAGTACAGACAGTAGCTATGTCTCTCCTGTTAGTGGTTGTTCTCTTATTCTTCAGTAGCTCCTGCAGTGTCTCCTCCGGTCAGTATTATGTGTCTGATGACTGCAGTTCAGTTACTCAGTCACCTTGTAATCCTTTATCAGTGTATGCTGGGAATATGTCTCAATACAGTAAAACCACCTTCTACTTCATTGGAACTAGTGTCATTAACTTTACTGTCACAGTGGACTCAGTACAGAATATAACTCTACATGGACTGGACCAGTCTTCTACTATTCACTGCTCATCTGGGTCTATAGCAATCAATACCAGCAATCATGTCAGTTTTAGTAACATGTTATTCCAACAATGCAACATACAATTTATATATTCAAGTAACATCACAATTACTGGTTCTATTTTTAAAAGCCAACGTCAGAGTTTGGGTTTTATGAATGTCTTTGACAGTAAGATAACATCTTCAGTTTTTGATAGTGTAAATCTACTCATTCGTTATTATCCACCTCCAGTGTGTTACAATGAATTACACCATTACTCATTAACACTGACTAATGTTATTATGGCTCAAGACTACTTTTGGGGGTCGTTATTATTGTTTGATATGAAACATGGTACCTCATATAACATATCAGTTATTATAGATAATGTCAAAATCAGCACAGAAAGTTATAGTACTTTCAGTGAATCTCTTTTTTCTCTGTATATTACCAATTCATCAGTATCTAATTCAAGGTTTGGATTACCCATTAATATTGGCATGCATTCACAGCAATCAAAATATTGTAATATAAAAGGTGTTGAATCACGATCGACTATTTTAATTGAAAACTTCCTATTTCACATCAATATTAAAGGAATATATTTTAATATAAGTAGAAATTATTTTCAATTAAGTAATCATCGTATTGATATTACTGTTAAGTCATGTTCAATACGTGACAATGATGAGTATGGTTTAGCAATTGATGGACGCTTATCAGCATCAGCTCATATCAGTGTTATAGATACTGAACTTGTTGGAAGCAAGGAAAATGTGATTATCAGGTGTAATTCTGTACTTCTTAATAATGTTACTGTTGCAAATAGTCTATCAACAGGACTGTTCATTGCATCCTCAGTAGTTACTGTAGAAAATAGATTAGTATTTAAGAATAATACTGGAGTAGTTGGAGGAGGAATGGCAATAAATAGTTCATCTATTGTGGCCCTATCACCATCAGCTAACTTGGAGTTTATTGATAATCATGCAACTTATAAAGGAGGAGGAATTTATATTGATGAGAGTGCAGGGTGTGGATTTATACAAGTGTCTCGGGTACCTCTTACATTAAAAGATAATACTGCCGGAGTAGCTGGAAATGATATATATGGGCGAATATATCCTGATTTTGATGAATTATTTAACTCAAAAAATCCTTCAACATCAAGTGATCCAAGAGAATATGCTCCTTGTGATCCTGACAGTAATGAAACCACACCAATATGGTATGATGATGAGCAACAAAGTGTTTTTCCAGGTCAACCACTGAAATATAATTTTGCTTTATTTGGACGTAGTTCTGATTCAAACTCATATAGTCTTACAGATGGGAGAATAACAATAGAAATTAATGGAACAATAGTGATAGACAAATATATTAATAATTGTTCACTGATTGAGTACACACCAAAATACATCAACCACTATGGAGAACATAATGTTACACTCGATGTCACTTCTAATACATTTTATTTTATCTTCGAAACACAATATAGTATTTCATTTATTTTTCAACAGTGTCCTATTGGTTTCAGTGTAAACAGTTCAGGTCTTTGTGATTGCAGTGTTTCAAGAGAGAATGTGACATGTGATATAAATACTCTAGACATTACACACAATGGTCTACTCTGGATTGGAACATATCATACCAGTACACCTTTCAATGCTAATGAAACCAATCCTAATGCATGCATTATCAATGAGGACTGTCTCCTCTATTGTTCTCCTAATCCTGTTACCTTTCAGTTCAATCACACTCATACTCAATGTGTGGATAATAGAGGACACAGAATGTGTGGATCATGTACAGAGGGACGCAGTCTACTAATGGGATCAAACAAGTGTGGACAGTGTCATAATAATTACATGATGATAGGTTGGATTGCTCTGTTTGCAGTGATGGGTGTACTACTTGTGGTTCTACTCATTGCTCTCAATTTAACAGTATCAGTGGGTACACTCAATGGTCTATTGTTCTATGCTAACATTGTCAAGTTATACGAGCCAGTCTTTTCAAGGAAAGGACCATTACCAGTCTTAAATCAAGTGATATCGTGGATTAACTTAGACTTTGGGTTTGAGATATGTTTTTACAATGGTATGGACAGTTATGCTAAACAATGGCTCCAGTTTGCTTTCCCTCTCTACCTGTGGATCATTATCATTATCATTATACAATTGTGTAGGAGATATGGTAAGATATCAAGGCTGATGGGGTCTCATGCTGTTCCTGTTCTATCTACACTCTTCCTTCTCTCATACACTAAACTAGTACGTACTCTTGTTATTGTACTACACAAGCGTGAGGTAACTCTTCACTGTACCAATGAGTCAGTAAGATCAGTTAGTTTATGGTATAAGGATCCTAATGTTGAATATGCTAAAGGGAAGCATGCTGGACTATTTGGATTTGCTCTATTGGTGTCTGTTTTCTTTGTCATACCATACACACTGTTCCTTTTACTTAATCCTTTTTATGAGAAGTATCTTTCAAATTTAAAACTTTTAAAGAAAAATTGGAATCATTTCAAGCCTATTATTGATGCTT